CCAAATCCGATCATGAGCGCCTCTGTGGATATTGCATTTTTTTTCGGTCGCTCTGCTCACGGACAATAAATTTTTATAATAATAATTTTCTTTTTTCGGTTGACATCAAATTGCTTGAGATATTTTTGGGTTGAAAATAAATTATTTTGATTACTCTAAAAGGTGTTTCTGAGTGAGCAGCAGTAGGTGAAATGTATTTATTTGGAATGTGTGTTTAAAGTTATTATATTGCATTTAAATTTTAGGTAATAAAAGTCTAAAGAAAATATTTATAGGGGTCTCATCCCTTAATATATATATTTTTTAAGCTAACAATATTTCAAATTATAATTCTTTTATAAATTGGGGACAATCTCCTTATAGTTTTATACTTAATATATATATAAAGTTTTACATTTTTAAGTTTCATTTTTATATTCCTAAAATATTTTTAAAAATTAGGTTTATTTATTTGTCTAATTTTAACCTTGATAAACATACCAAAAGCAAAACTTAAAGTCCCCACTTCCTCGTTTGGAGTTAAATGTTATAACATTTTTTAATTGACCAATAAAAGAATGTGTTGATAACCTGGCATTCAGATATCAATATCAGTTAACTAAAAGTGAACAATCAAAGCCCCATGACCAAATAAATAAATATATATTTGTGACGGCGAATGGCAGTTGAAAGAATTTTGTATTTTTGCCTTTTTGTTTACTATTTTTTTTTCATTTGCTCTTTAATCATATCTAGAACATATGACCCAAGTTGAGTGACAAGCCTTTGTTTTAGCATGCCACAATGGCAACCAACAAAAAAAACAGTTAAATAATCACAAAAGACACACACTCTCAGCGAAAATAAAAATTAAAAATGCTATTCAATTTTTTATTATCTGCTGTTGTTTCTCTATCGCAAAATCAGCTGGAAAGGCAACCAAAAAACTATAACAAAAGTCAGTTGGCAATTAGAAAAAGCGTGAAATATGCACGAGCGAGAAACAGAGATGGAAACAATTTTAAAAAAAGAGATAGAAAAACGCGTGCGGGGTCATCAACTGGCTAAGACCCCCAGGGCAATATTCCCCTTTTACAGCAAGAGAGAAAAATATAAAACTTTAAGCCCGCAACAATAATAAATAACAACAATAATAAGCCCCTAAGAAAACAAGAAAGAGAGGCAGGGAAAAAAATTATAGAGAATCATAAAATAGAAGAGATTGAACAAAGACCAGAAGTTTGATTAATGGCTAAAACCAAGGGGAAGAAGAGGGAGTAGGACCATGGACAGCAGGCAACAATTTAGCGCTCGGCAAAACTTGGTCGAAAGCAAAATTATTAAAAAAGAAATGGAAAAGTTTTTCCTCAAAACAAGGAAATTGCTCGGAAGCACTAGAAGGGCAAGAGGAACTGCCAACAGGCTAATTGCCGGACTTGGCTGATAAAAATGGCCAACAAGACGAGAGAGAATCTTGTGCCAGCAAATTGAAGTTAAGAGAGAGCTCCCTGGGCCAGATGAAAGGTGAAATTGTATCCCCAGGGGAGCCAGAAGGCAACAGGTAACAGGTCAGAGGTCAGATTCGATATAGAAATGGAATGGGGAGAAAGTATTTCTAATGAGGTTTATTATTTGAATTTTTATTACGTTTCCAATCAATCATAATTATGCATTCTAGAATTATTAGTTTATTCTTTATGGGTTACGTGTGGTTTAGTCATTCAATTAGTTGAATGCAAATACTATTGTTAATGTATTAAATTATTAAATGTATGCTCAGTAAACGCTTTTATCAATTATAATTTGAATCATGTTAAGCTATTTTCTGTTTTTTATTATTATTTTAGTCAGAAGCTTTTAATGATATGAAGAAATCATTTCCGACCCTACAAATCATATATATTCTTGATCAGAATTAACAGCTGAATCGATCTAGCCATGTTTGGCAAAAATTAAATTTTTTCAAACTTTTGAAAATTTTATAATTATATAATTTTTTTTTAAATTATCAAAATTTGACAAAAAATTAAATTAAATTAGAACTTAAAACTGAGTATGCAGATTTGTTACCCTTTTAAAAACTAACATGGAAACGTTTTCCGAATTAAAATTAAAGCATTTTTGGCTTTGTTGTGAGTTTTTGAAAAATGGATTTTTCCAAAAAAAAATTCAATTAAAAATATCGATTCAAAGACTGCAAATATTTATTTATGATCCTAACAATTCTGTACCCAAAAAATACCAGAGCTCTGCTTTAAATTAAAATAAACCCGTTAAGGCTAACCTTAACCCCAAATAAACTCTCACTTAATGATAACACTTTAATCCATAATAATGAAAAAAAAAACCCACAACTGTATAAACAAATGTCAAAATAATTCAAATTCTAAAAAGTCAGAGGCTTTACTTTGATCTCTGTCTACACTCTCACTCTCTCTCTCTCTCTCTGCCAACACTGTTAGCCATTTTTATTATCTGCCTCTTTTGGTTACCCGCATAACTTTTGCCATTCGGCCAAAATAAAAGGCAAAAAAGACCCAAAGCAAAACAAAACTGAAAAAGAGGTAGTAAAACGAAAAGAGGAGTAACTTTCGGACTATTAGCTGGCAATTAAAACGGCAAATGAACTTTCAACTCGACAGGCAAGAAGCAAATACTCAAATAGCCAAAAACTAAACCAAGCCAAAGAAAGTAAACAAAACAAGCGATAAAGTCAGAGCTACAAAAAAACAGACTGCAAAAGCACAGAGAAGGCCACAAATTAGTAAACAAAAGCACAATTGTTTGCTATGTTTAAGGGCGGGAGCGGTGGGCGTGGGAATTTTACACAAAACAAGACCCAAAACAACGATGACACCCACTAGAAAAGTTTTGTTAAAACAGTTTTTTTTGTTCTTCTTGTTGGGCAATTTTTGGGGCTTCCAAAACTCTGAGCCCTGGGATAAGAACAGAGACTATAATAGGAGTAGAGGCTGGCCGAAAAAACAATGCCAAAATAAAACTGGTACAAAAGTTATCGGCTTTTTAGCCCCACTTCTCTCATGTGTTAATAATAAGCCAGACCTGGTGGAAAAACCAGGCCAAAACAACGTCTAATTCGCATAGAAATCCAAAGCTGCTTAAATTAAAGGCCACAAAAAACACAGATGGGCCAAAACTTGTAACGGGGTCAACACAGATTGCAAATTTGATAACGATAATTTTGGTGCCCAGTTACGCTTCTTGCAAAACTTAAACAAAACTTCCACCAAGTCGAACTTGGTATTTACTTTACTTTCCCTGGACGGGGATTTTCTTTAGATTTAATCAGTTTTGTAGGTACAAGTCGATAAAACTTTTATAAAATATCAATAATTCGACAAAAGTAAACACAAATAGTGTTTAAGGGAAAGATTTAACACGAAGTGGATTAACTTTGCGATTAACTTTTTCTGTATTGAGGGTTTAAAAGAAACTTTTTGTTGGATTTTGTTAAGTTATAAAAAATATTTAAGTCGCAGTAATTATTATTTGTAATTTTTGTAGAAGTTCTTTTAGTTTAAGCCAGCAAAATGATAGCTCTTTTTCGTAACATTTTAAGCAGCTTATAAAAAAGGCAATGAAGAATGAACGCAATTTTTGATTGACTTAATAAAGAAAGTTTATAGAATATATAAAATATATGCTATCATTTAAATTTTAATTAAAAAGAATGTTATTGCTATTTCTTACAACTCTTATTCTCTATTATTCCAAAACCTTATCTACAACAAAGACTCTTGATGAAGGGTTCCTAGAGCCGTCCACCTTTGGAAAAGTTGCCTTTTCCTAAACGTGCCTACCAAGGTCCACGTTCCTGTCTTATCCCCCTTCCCATTTTCCCTGCTTTCCCATTTCCCCCCCTCTAAGTAATCATCTCAGAAGCAGCACAATGGAGGGGATAACAAAAGTTTTGTCTTGTCTCTGTCCAGTTTATTCCTTTCCATTCACCTCGCGCTCTCCTTTAGCTGCCCCTTACTTTTTTGGACGGGTAATTCACGTGGCACTAATTGAATTAGTTAACTGACTTTTGAGTCAGTTTCGACTCTATCCCTTGTACTTGGAAATTATACCGTTAAACATGATCAACTTGCAATAGAATGCAAAGTGCGCAATTAACAAGGGGGCTAAAAAATATACATAAGTAATAAGTAAACTCAGAGAAACTCAGGCACACACACAAGGGCCTGTTAAAGGGTCTGGTGTGTTTTACGGGCTTTGGTTTTTGGAAAATTTCAGATATTATGTCTCAGGTCAACAGCTGCAGCTGCCTTGAAACACTAATTAAACAGATGTGAGCAAACACAGAAGGGCAGAGAGCGGAGGGTGGGGAGAACTTCCTCAATGTCAAATTTCAATTCAAGGCATCGAATTTCAAACAACATTTGGACAGCACACACACACACAGGGATCATCCGAAGAGTGAAACAGTAGCAGTATAAGGTACTTAAAGTAAAAACAGAGCTATTTTTAAATTATATTCAACTTAAATATTTAAAAAATGGTATTGGGAACATCAGACAGAATGTTGCAAACAAAACTCAAAAACGCGACGTCGAACCTTTTTTGTAGCCTTTTTCATAACAAATTTCAGTGGAAGATTTTAAATAAGATCTCAAGGAGTCACTGATCAATGATTAAAACATTTACAAAATACAGAAATTATATAAATTCCCAAATTCCCATTTAATCTGAAGCTAATAAACAACGCAAAATCATTCGCAATTATTCCGAATTTTATATAAATTACAAAGTAATTACTTTTTGATAAATATTATAGTAATCACAATATGACAGTAAATTGGTTGGGTTTTCAACTGGAAATGATTGCCAGGCCAACTAAAAATGTTATTCAACCAGTTAAAACAGAGAGTTAAACCAGAAATGTGGTCCTATATAAACCTTCATCTGTGTGGAGCTCTTTTAGCAGTGAACTTTGTATTAAATGTGTGTAAATGTGATGTAAATTAAGAAGTAATCTATAAATATATACCAATTTACAGGATGGTGTTGTATTCAAGTTTACGAATTTCGAATGCAAAAGTTACAACGAATCGTGGTTCGTTTTTCACAAGTATCGCCTCAAGGCTGTGGGTCGCGATAAAGTTTTACTTAACGTAAATGGAACAATTCTTCATCCAGCCTATAATATTAGTGTTCATGTGCAGATTTTTAAGAAGGCAAACGGATTTAAGCCTTGGTTATATAACTTTTATATTGATGGCTGCCGATTTATAAGAAAACGTTACGATCCAGTCGCTGTCATTATCTATAATATTTTTAAGGAATATTCAAACATCAATCACACCTGTCCGTATATGGTAAGTCTTAAAAGATATCTATTTTGATTTTAAACCAATTTATTATTGAATTTCGTTACAGGGCCTACAAGTTGTAAAAGATTTTGTTTTAAGAACGGAACTATTAACACTTCCCATACCCACAGGAGACTACAAGTTGGCAATAGGTTGGTACTTTGACCACAAGCTTCAGTTCGATACAAATGTCACCTTTACCTATAGGGAAGATCTTTTAAGAAGCAGTTATAAGAGGCTTAAATAAAGCAAATATTATTTTATAACAAATCGAGTAAGCTGGAAAAACAATACCTTAAGTGAGAGTGCTAGTCCTTGGAGGTTAAATCGTTCCAAATATACCACCGGCAATAAATTAAAGTCGACTAAAGTAAGCGCTGATTAACTAACCTATCGATGTCAGCCAGGTAAATAACAAAGTTTAACAAATTACGTCAGGCTCAGGTCGAAACGGCCAATAAAAAAATTTGCAAATCAATGCAAATGACTGGGCAAACAATGAAAGGCAAAAGGGGAGCGGGAACCCACAAAAACCGAGAGCAGAATTAATTAACTAAATTGCGGGACGCACACGGGTAGAAAAAGGGGAAGAACTCGAACCCCGAGATTAGCAAAAGATGTCAGTGTGTCACAAGGATGCCGATAAACGAGTTTTTTTCTCTCCCCCCTACTTTGATTTTGAATATTAGACAAATTGGTTTCGATTTTTTGTCTTTTTTGCAAGCTAAACAGGAATTACGGGAAAGTTAAACCAAATGCTAATGTTGAAGACAAGATGCTCTACGAAATTGTTACTGAAATGGGGCTCGATTTTATCACAAAACAGTATACAACCTTATATATATATTTATATATTTATACATTTATAAATATTGTGGCTTTCTATTTATAAACATGAAGTGTGACTCACATTTTATTAGTTCAAAGGGTTATTACACTTTTGAGATAAAAGCAAATGCTGTCTGTTTTTTATGGTTATGATTCATTTAGTTTAAATAAAATGAGTATTTTTATTACTCAGGGGTTAGTCAACACATTTATAAAAATCTATAACTTTATAAAAACTGTGGTAATTAAGAAAACGTGTTTTAAGAACAGTTATAGAAAGTAAAATAAATATCGGTGCTATAGTTTTCATACTATAATTATAACAAAAAATATTATACAGGAAATAATAATATATTATATACATGTATATAATATTTTTATATATTTTTAATACTTATATTTTTAGTAATGTACACATATTTTTAGAATTTATAGAGTATTAATCACGACCAACTTTTCATCCTTGGCCATACCTGTTTTCTATGCACTTTCTTTCGATTTAGAATTAATTCCACCTGATGTTGGCCTATTCAAACCGATTTTAATGAAAGTGCAGCTGCAACTGCAACAGCACCATCTGTATCAACGGCAGCAACATGCAACACGCAGCAGCAACAGTTGCAGCAACAAGTTGCACTTGCATGCGCCACTGTGCGCACTGAGCCATGCCAGAGGGAGCAGGAGAGGGAGATAGAGCGATAGAGATGCAACACACACACGTTTCGTTTTAGAATTTTTAGTTTAATGATTTGTAACCGGTTTTCGAGGTGGCAATTCGCATGCAACGACGACTGCAGTTGTTGCAGTTGCTGCCGCTGCAGGGCTACATGGAGTTTGTGCCACTGTTTAATTACACTTCTTCCTACGAACAGCTTAAAAATAATAACAATAGCGGAAGTTATACAAAAGCCGCAAAACCGGCCGCATAAACAAGAGCAAGAAATGAAGTAAGAAAGAAAGAGATAAAACAACAGGGTTTGCGGGCGATAAGAGGCAAAGAACGAAGGGCGAAAGAGTGCGAGCGAATAACATGTGACGAAAGCAGTCGTCTGGATACGAGTTTAACAACATTTAACTGTTGTTTACACCCGTGATTGCCCCTATTCTAACTAACGTTTCTAACTAGTGCAGAAAAAAGCGTTCTTACACACATGGCTCTAACCAACTACAATAATTATCTCTCTGCCATTTATGGCTTGCGCAAATATGAAGAACAAAGGGATAGGAAGGGATATTACTACAGTGTTTGCAAATACTATATCAAATCTATTATCTATTATAGTAAATCATAACATCATTAAATAATCTTACAGCTTGCGGCTACAAAATAAAACTTACTCTTGCAGTTTGCAATTAAATTATAGGATCGTTAAGAAAATAGACCATAGGTAAGCTTAGAATATTCGCTTTCTTTGAATCGATATTTATTATTCTAAATGACAATTTTTCCTAAAAATCAAATCTTAAAAAACTCACAACTAAACCAAACAAGCATTTATTTCAATTCGGAACGCTTTCCTATGTTAGTTTTTGTCAGGCTAATAAATTTGCATACTCAATTTAAAATTTAAAAAAAAAATTGAAATTTTGATGAATTTTTGACAATTTTAACGATGTAACCCCGTATAAAAATTTCAAAATTTTGAAAAAACTTAAAATTTCTTCGGATATAGCTAGATCAAATCGGCCGGAAATGATTCCTTCACAGCTTTACAAGCTTCTGACCCAAATAATAATACCCTGAAAGGGTATAAATAAAATAATAAATATAAATAAAATAACAAAATAAATTTAAATAAATGGAATGGAATTTGAATGGAGAAAATTCGAATTCATTTGAATTGCTTATTTAGTTATAGTCGCCATACATGCCTTGGGATAACGTGTTTTTTGACGCCTGCCATTTCCCAAATGACTATCTAGTGTCCCTCGTTTAAAAATAGTATGTATAAATCAGGCTTACCTCCAAAAGTGTGCGAAAAGCGGCCGTCAGCCATTCAAGTCCAATTGCGAGGCGAGACTTTCCGCTTTTGTAGGTCTCGTTTGGTGCGTTTCTTTCTTTTTTCGTAAATTATTTTTCACCAGTTAAAGTTGCTTTCAGCCAAATTGAATCAAATGACGCAAAAAAAAGCACAAGCTGCAAATTGTAAAAAATTGTATTTATTATGGACACACACTTTCACGGCACAATTAATTGGCTAGATTTTTCTCTCCATCTCGTGCCGCTCCTCCTACTCCTCCTCCTCCTCCTCCTCCTCCTTCTCCTTCTCCTTCACCGTCTCCTCTTTAGCTTCCTCTTTGGCGCAAACAGCTGGCCAAGTCGTTTGCCCACATTTCGCACAGTGGACAACTTTCGCTCAAAACGGATGCAGCGATGCAGGCAGACGGCGGCGGCGTTCAAGGAGCAGCGAGAGGGGAGGGGGGTGCGGCAATGAACGGGTTTTTTCTTTGCTACAGGAATTCTTTTTGTTGCTCTTTAGCCACTTCTTTTTTGTTTTGCTAAATTTTCTTAATTTTCCTTCGTTTTTTAAATTTCCATCAATTGGCACATTTCCGCTTGGCTGGATTTACGTTTTTCTATTGGGTTTTTCTTCTGGCGCCCCAATTTATTTACGAGTGTTGTTCTAATTTATTTCGCTGTCCCACAAACAAATATTTTTTTTTATTTATCTCGCTCCGCACTTTCTTTCGGCATTTTTTATGGCCCCGAAAAACGCGATCTGCTCTTTTCCCTCTTCTCTTTTGCTATTTTTAACGGAACGCACACACACACACACGCGAACACTCAGGTGAAAAATTAGTGCAAAATTCTTTGCCGATCGCACCGAATTGAACAATTTATATTTGCTCAATGAAATAACTGTGCTAGTACGGCATTAACTGTATCGTTCAACAAGTTGTTGTTGTCGGGACGATCACGTTTTGATTTTCTATTAATATGCACACAATTCCAGCCGCAAATTGTAAATAACTTTTAATAAACTATTACAACAACACCGAAATACATTTATCACCGTTAACAGCATTAATTTTTGTTGATCTTTTCACAAAACACGACTTTTCAGACACAACAAATTTTTTTGTTTATCTTTTTATCAAAATATCGATATATGTATCGTGATTTTATATCGTGATGTCAATGCAAGGATGCCAATTAGGCCTATTTCCCGGCAAGTCTGGCTTTTTAAAGCCAAATGGCGGGAGGAAGAATTGAAAACAGCGGAAAATCCGTCAAAGGACTTTTTCGATCTCTGTTTTGTTTTTATAAAGAAAAACTTTACGTGGAGAATAATTTTTAATTTATTTTTTATCCGCGACACAACCGGCCTCGTCGAGTAAAATTTTTGTTAAGCTTGCAAACGCGTTTCAATTGGATCCCACAAAGTCCACAATCCACAAAGCTAGTTTGAGTCCACATAGCCAAGCATCTCTCACCGTATAATTTCAGCAGTGTCAATTGTTAATAGTTAAGAGAAAAAAACAAAATAAGAGGTGAAATTGTATAAAAATGTTCAAGAGAGGCAGAGAAAAGAGTAATTTAACAGCCATATTCTCTTTTAAGCAATTTAAAGTTCGCTCTTCCGATCAATCCGGACCTGGCGAAATATCTGGAGTAAAAATAGCTAAACTTAAAAACATTTAAAGAACCAATTGGAATTTAGTTTATATTAAAACAATCAAGTTATGATCATTTATACCAATCCTGACTGAGTTTTAAGTTAACACAAATATTCCCACGTTAATCGCTGTTTTCTGACGAGGTTTATTCAAACACATATACTGGTTTTCAAATATTTAAACATAAATAATATTATATGTGAATTAATTTATCTTGAGTTTATTATTTATTAGTCTCATTCATGATTATAATATTATAAAATAATAAAAATTGAGAAAATAAATATCAGTCTCATAAAATGATATGGCAGGCCTACAACATTAGGTAGGCTTTTTGGTAGACAAAATCCGAAAATTAAATGAATCATTAATTAATTGTTTCAATTTAACTTCAACATGGCCAAGAAGATTGTTAAAACATTGTTTACCTTAGTTGATTATAAATTTTATTTTCAAACTAAATATGGCATCGAAACTAAACTAATTACTGATATTGAAATCAGGCAATTGCAATGAATAAAAATTACACAACTAGTTTGGCAAATAATTAACTAAGAACACACTATTGACAATTACCAATAAAAAATAAAATATTCGGTGGGATTACATTGCAGTTAGAACTCGAGTCTTCCTCTCATTTACCGTGGAAATATATGAGTTGTTCCATTTGAATAGCCTAAGAGAAAACTAGAATCGACATACGAACTATACACGAGAATTGCCGGGGTCAGGAGCGAGTGGATGGAGTGGAGCAGTAGGTCATAGACACATCCAGAGGCAAGTCCTGAGAGCACGCAAAGGTTGAGGTGCTGGTAGTCTCGTTAAAGCCGCTGTCTGCCCGGTAAAGAGGCACTCGGGGTCCCTCCTGTGGTGCCACTACTAGAGGTGGCTCTACTTGCTGAACAAGCGCCATATCCTGAGCCTGACCCTGATCCCGATCCTCTTCCTCCTCTAAATTGGCACTAAAAGATTGCGAGAGATTCTTGCGTTGGGCAGAACGACGTCTTCGGTGCCCACGTGGAGTGTCCGAGTTGGAGGAACTGCAATTGAAGCTAAGAGTGGACAATTGCATGGCCTCAGCTTCCTCCCCCTCATCATCTTCCTCAGTGTCTGGGTCCTCCTCGTCATCGTCGTCCTCTTCGGTCTCATCGAACAACGGCTTGTCGCCAGCCTCGACTACGACTTGCTGCCGCGTGCTGTTCACCCTCAAACGGCTAACTCTTTGATTGATGCTGCAGTCAGAGTGCTCCAGTCCTCCGCCCATCGGCGACGAACTTCTGTCCGGGGTGAACTTCAAGGCAGTTCGCTCCGATAAGGTATCGTGCTGCTCTGTGACGCTCACCTCAACCTTTGAGTACGCCAACCGCCTGCTCAGATGCTCGGACGGTGCTATTGGCGACGGCAGCTCTAGCTCTTGCATGAGCAGCTTCCTCTTTCCGGAGCAGTTGCCATCGTCGGGTGTGCCTGGTGGCAGTCCACATAAGTTCCTGATGGGCGATAGGCTGCCGAAGCTGCCCTCGCCGGAAGCAGAGTCTGACAGGCGCCCGGCAAATAGGGTTTGCTTGGCCTGCGGACTGGAGCCCGCCATGGGCGATGAGTGCTCGGCGGGATCTTGCTGATCACCCAAAACGATGACATTGTGCAGATCAAAGAGCTTCCTTCGCATCGAACTGTTGAAGATGTCATTACCGCCGCTCGATTTGCTCCTACCCGACAAGCGACCTGCCAAATGGGGTTGCATGTACGGACGCAGAGCGTCCTCGAGGGCCTTCGGTAGAATCGGTGGAAGGGTTAGCTCCGTTTGCGCTTCGCAGTCACGCCGCCGTCTCGATTTGTTGGATATGGGTGTGTTATCCTCGAGAATAATGCGATGCTTGCGAAGGGGACAGTCCACCGGACTTGGCACATTGTGAGACTCCTTGAAAAATGCACTTATTGCTAGCTGGGCCTTAGACTCCACCTCCGGGTCGGGCGAGTCGTGGAACTGTGTTTCGTGGGGCTCAACGTCCGCAGGCTTCAGTTGCGACACCTCGTCAATATTCCACTCGAACTGTGTGGAACAGAGTTGGGGAGTCCGCGATCGGAAAAGCGAGGGACTGGAAGCGAAGAAAATGCAGGATAAAAGGCCAAACAACATTCTCAAAAACTCACCTGGCTATCAACGGCAGGTGCAGGCGGTCCGCCATGGCCATCTCGAAGGGATTCCGCACCCTTTGGAGCCGTTTCGGCGGCGGAGTGCACACTCCAGCCGACATCTGGGGGCTGCATTTTCCATTTTCCTTGCCGCCATTCTTTGGCGTTGTCGCCGACGCCGTCGAAGTGTGCCCTTTTGTGTAACTGTTCCTGCGCGACCGGCCTTTCAGGCCACTCAAATTGGTGAAATATCTGCTCTTGAGGGCCTGGGGCGTTCTCGCCTCGTCGTTGTACATTCTAATCACAACTATTGTTTAATTTAACTACAATTAAATAAAAGCGCCTACTTTTTGCAGGCAGATGTCAGTATTTTCAAATGCAGCCGGTGTGACCGTGGAATTATTGATTGAAAATACCATCAGGCGCTACGAAATATAAAATTATTTAGAAACACTTGAATTTGTCGAGAATTGTCTATAGGATATTATTTAACTCTAAACCGAAATTGATGAATAGTTTTCCCTATTGTTTCATATACGTTAGATGTTGGTACACCTTCTGTGAGAGCCACAATAATTAATTTGATTTTAGTGTCGAATTGGTAATGTTGAATATCTCTATTGTTACATTCCCAAACGCATGGTATATTTACCTTGGGTTTTCCCAATTTTTGAGTATATAAAATGCAAAAACTTCAACTTTAATTAATATATAATTAATTTATTATTATTATTATTATTTATTATTATTATTAATAAATAGTTGCTTAAATTGTTCCCGCCAACATATTGAATGCGGAACCAGTTAAGTTGCAGCTGATTGCAGCACTGGTTCATTAACCGTTTTTTTACAATTATAGTTTAAACAGAAACAATTAAATTAATTAAGTGTTAATGGGAGGTGTGTATTAAACTATCTATTTACGAATTTATCCTATTGAAAGATAAAAAAGCTAGTTAAGAAATATGGCAGCCCTGCGAGCTTATCGATACTATCGATTCGATAGCACCCGCCTATCGATGGCACCAGCTATCGACATATCGATTTAGCGATTTAATTAATCACTTTTACTGTTTACTTTTTTAATTAAACTGTGTTAATTAAATTAACAATAACGGCAGCTATTAGTCCACTGCGACGCAGAAACGAAGCCGCGCCAGTCGTTGCGACGACTCCATTACCTAAATCGCCGTAGGAAAAAGCCACCAGGAAGTCCCATTCCCACAATCACAACAACAGCAACCTCAAGTAACAAGTGTGTGTGTGTGTGCGAGTGCATATGTTCGAATTTGTTCAGGCACGGTGAATAATTTACGGCTTGGCCTTCCCCCTGAGGAGCGACAAAAAATAAAACAACAAAGTCGCACGTTCACTCACTCCCACACACACACCAGCGTACGCACCTCGCACGCATACAGGCGCAGCCCCGATAACCTGCTCGTGTGTGTGTGTGAGGCAATCGCCTCGCAATCAAATCAGTGAAAACGAAAACAAAATCAGAAACAACAACAAACACAACAATTGAGGTGCCGTCAGCAGCTGCAGCGCCAAAAGTGAATAGGAATTGAGAAGATCTCGAAAGAAAGATGGGCCTGCTATTGTCCCGTCTGTGGCGGATGTTTGGAAACGAGGAGCACAAGCTGGTCATGGTGGGGCTGGACAATGCGGGCAAAACGACAATCCTATATCAGTTTCTCATGAACGAAGTGGTCCACACTAGCCCCACGATCGGCTCCAACGTTGAGGAAGTCGTCTGGCGCAACATCCACTTCCTGGTGTGGGATCTCGGCGGTCAGCAGAGCCTGCGCGCAGCCTGGAGCACTTATTATACGAACACAGAGCTGGTGATCATGGTCATAGACTCGACGGACAGGGAACGGCTGGCGGTGACGCGGGAGGAGCTTTACCGGATGCTGCAGCACGAGGATTTGAGCAAGGCCAGCTTGCTGGTGTACGCAAACAAGCAGGACCTCAAGGGATCGATGTCGGCGGCAGAGATATCGCGACAACTGGACCTCACCTCGATCAAGAAGCACCAGTGGCACATCCAGGCGTGCTGCGCGCTGACGGGCGAGGGCCTCTACCAGGGGCTGGAGTGGATCGTGCAGCGCATCAAAAACAAATGACACGCCACGCCAGATTAGTAGCTAATCAATTACCAACATAGCTAAGCCTGTCTAGAAAAGTAAACCAATTTTGATATAAACAAATTTTTAAGCGTTTCCAAATTGTTTTGAGATGATTACGATGATGATGATGAAGAGTTGTTGCCAAGCCAATTTTATTTAGTGTAAAATAACGACGATGATCCCCTCAATGAGATAATGATACGAAAATTGTACGTGTATATGGATAATGTCTAGGAGCTAAGCCAATTATTAATTAACTAACGATACTTCCAATAAAATTACAAAATAAACGTGTTTATTTCGCGTACCATCAACTTGAAATACAAATACAGCAATTGGACGTATTTTCTCTCCTCTGTGAGCATTGCCTGGTAATTGACACGGTTGGCTCGATGATTCGCTGATGTGTGAGATTGTTTTGTACTCTTCTATCGCCTAAAATAAATACATATGGTTGTGTAAAAGTTAGTGTATAAATTAAAGGCATCTACGCCTTGAACGGTCTAGGATTAGGTAAAAACGTTAGCGTACTAAAATATATATAGCCACAAGAACAATTTGATCACAACGAAAATAAAAGCAAAATAAGGGGGAACGAGGGGAAGAAAGTCTAGGTGAGATTGCAGGAGCTGCTGCAGCTCTTCAGGGGCTTGCCCTGGCCCAGTGTAATAGTGTTCTCGGGCACTTCCTCCACATTGTTGGCGTCATGTTGTCGCTGTTGATAAAATACGATTAGTATTAGCTTCGGTATTGAAGAAATCTGTTAATTAGACACACCTTAAGTTCCGTGGCCAAGCAACGGAAGGCGTCCTCCACGTTCATGTTCTCCTTGGCAGAGGTCTCCATCACGAAGAGGATCTCAGGTATATATTGACACATCTGACGCGCCTCCTCAAAGTCCACCTCGCGCTGCTCCTCCAAATCGCACTTGTTGCCCACCAGAATGATCAGCACATTGGAGGCCGTATACCTGCGCACCTCCTCGATCCACTTTTGCAGGTTAGAGAATGAAGACCGCTTTGTGATGTCATAAACTGCAAGAGAGAGCACGGCGGGTAGTATCAGTAAACAGTAAACACCCTCCGCGGCACCTCGCCACCGATAAGGAGCTGGCAGAGCTATTAAAATCAGTGCCAGGCGCTAATCACTTTAAAGCATGCAGCCCTTATCGGCGGGACCGACCAGCAGCCCCGCTGATAGCGACGCCGCTAGGCATTGACCGTGACAAATGGATGGGCGTATGCCCCGCGAAGATACCAACGCGACTCACCAATTAAGACCCCGTTGGCCGACCGATAGTAGCTCTGCGTAATGGTGCGAAATCTCTCCTGGCCAGCAGTGTCCCAGATTTGAAGCTAAGGAGGGGCAAAGAAAGCGAGATGAATCATGGGTCAGGAGAGTTCGAGAATCACCAGCAAACCTTGATTTGTTTGGCCTCCACTGCAATTGTCTTCATAGAGAAGTCCACGCCAATGGTGTTCCCGTGGCGCTCGATGTAGTTGCCCGTCTTGAATCTGTCCACGATGCAGGTCTTCCCCGTCCCGCAGTCGCCAATCAGGACGATCTTGAAGAGAAAGTCAAAGTGCTCCTCGCTGGGAAGCGCCATCAGAGTCTGTGGGTTGCGGGCCGTCATCTTCGGGTGGCCACCGATTCTGGATCTCTGAACTTGTTTGCTTCGTTCCAGCTACCCAGCTTGGCGAATTTCCTTAGCAAACGAAGAATAGTGTCTGGCAGTTGGATTGTAAGTTCATGTCAATTTTTTATCAATTTACGTTGTTTGTTTTTTTTATGAATCAGGTGGTGTTGTTGTTTTTTATAATTTTGTTTACCTAATATCGTTGTTGCGATCTGGTCACTCTGAATTCCGAAGCTGTTATTTAACATTTTACATCTATAAAACCCTTTTACACGTTTAAAGATACATGGGGTCGAATTCTATTGTAGAAAGTATAATGCCTATGTAGAAAGTAGAATTTATTAACAGATCCGCTCTCATCCATACAGAAAGTATTTTTTGATATTTTGGTTCTGGTCACTCACATATTTAAAATTTCGTTGTAAGAAACTGGTCTCCCCTAAAGCGGTATGAATACAACTTCTGTAAACCTTTGAGTGTTGGTAAATGACACACAGTTGGGCGGATATTTTTAAATATTGAACATGTTGGGGTTTGTATTTAATCTGCATGTATATAAATCTAGAACTTGACTAAAATCTCCTTCAATTGCTTTCGCTCCAAATCGGGCACTTGACAGCCCTCTGAAGCATAGCCCACAGGCAGTAGAATGAGCAGTTTTTCATTTACAGGACGATTCAGTAGGGATCTTAGCGCGGGGCCACAATTTAAGGGAGTTGTGACCAAAGAAGACAGTCCTGCCGCCTGTAAGGCGCACAGAAGGATGCCTGCGGCAATGGAGGTGGATATCTCATTGTAGTAGTGCCTCTTCCTGCGTCCATCGTCCATTAAACCATACGTCTGCTTGAAGATCAGGATGAGATAGGGGGCATCTGTAAGGTATTCCTTCACATGATTGGTTTGCAGCGGTCGCAGATCTGTGACCCATTGCGGATGCATTCGCTGGTTGTAGTTGATCAGCTCCTCCTGCTCTACGATTTCTCGAATGGATTGCTTCAGCTCTTCGCTCTCCACCACGCAGAATGTCCAGGGCTCTGTGTGAGCGCCACTTGGAGCAGTTCCCGCAGCTCGGATGCAATCCTCTATGACGCTAAGGTCTGGCTTTCGCTGGCTGCAAAAAGAACGAATGCTGCGACGTCCACGGATCAAGTTGTAGAAGATTTCAGCTCCATTCGGATTGAGATTCTGGCCGGGAATGAAGGGGACGTGAGGCCTCTCCTCGAGAGCAGGCTGTAGTTCATCAGTGTCCTCGGAATCTTCAACTAAAAATCATTCAAAATGAACAACAAATTATTTCAAATTTGCATTTCCATACAATTTTATTGTAATATACGGGAGAAACCAAATATTTTGAAAAACACTGTAAAGTTTATTTTTATGACTTCAAATTCCGAATAGATTGTGACTCATACCCTCCACAAGCTCTTTGTTGTCCAAAGTGTATCTATGGGAGCTTTCTTTACGCCTTGACAGCACAAACTTGAGGATCCCCAATAGGATCAACCCGATGAGGCAGGTGGGCCAATGTTTAATCAGCTTGGAGCTGCTGAAGAACGCTTCCATCTCCAAGCTTCTCTAAACCGTAACTGATTGTGGAGAAAGTGAAGCAGTCAGTCGCTCACACAGGCTTATCTGCGGCCCAAGTGGGTCAATGTCGATACTGATACGGATTCCAGTTCTCCCAGAGAGTGAGAGAAAGAGTGTGAGAGATAGTGATCCCCTCAGTTGTTGTGGCAGCAGTAGGGACAATGACTGCCCTTTATGTGGTTACAAATCCTCGAGGGCCCTGGCTTTGCCGGAGGAGCAGGTGTATTCTTGGGTGGTTTGTATGGATGATGCTGCATCTTTAACTGATTGAGTTGCTCCTTCACAGCATTCTTCTGTGGTCCAGCCTTCAAATGAACCAACTGCCTCTTGTGGACCTCCCTTAGGATTTCAATGATCCGCCACTTGGCATCGAAGTATATAAAATCCGGCGCAGCGGTGAGCTCCGTGCGGATCATATCGCAAAGCATTTGCACTTGCTTAAAATTTTGATACTTTGCTACTAACGGATTATCTCTTTTATCTTCTGGAGCGGGTTCTTTGCGTTCCTCCGAGACGCAGCAGGGACAGGACTTGTTATCCGGGCCACTAGCTCCCACTTGAGATTCCGAAGGAGCCTTGGAACCCGGTTTCATGGGTTTTTGTTGGCCGACAGCGGCAGAGTATGGAGGATGGGCAATCATGAATTTTTCTTGCTCCTCAGCAGCAAAGGATTCCGCAACGGATTGCTGTGGTCTAAAATTTATATTCTGATCGACGTAGAACTGTGGAGCCGGAACAGTATACCCCTTTTGAGACGTTTCCGAAGGATGTTTGATACTGGAATTCATTGGTGCTTGTTGCACCACAGGAGTTACAGATTCAACAATTGATTTCATGGATTCCTTTGGCTGCGAAGTTGTAGCCGACTTGGAATACCCAAATTGTGAGAGTCGACACTCCGATGGACAGGGTGAGTTCTCCAATCGAAAGGGGCAGGTCAGATCGGTGGTTTTTAAATCCTGCTCGTCTCCGTAGTGTGAGGATGTGAGCGACATCTTGGAGTCCCGACTGCAAGCGGCGACATCATTGGAACGTTCCTCCGCCGAAGGCGAGAAGGTGACGCTTGGCATTTGCTTCTCCTGATCGCTGATCTTACTCGACTTAGACTTGTTTTTGACATCCTTCTTAAAGGTGCGCCTAAGCATTTCTTTGGGAGAGCAGCATATGTTACCGGGAAAAGCGGCCAGGGGGAAGCCCGTAAAGTGGTTCAGCCTATGGTTCGGCATATCAGAAGCTGGATTTTGTACATTTGGTGGGTTCTGCGAACTGGTACCAGTCTCTCCATGGGATTGATTGAATTCCATGTATAGATATGGCACCAGAAAGAGGAACTCGTTGTAGTAGCGAAACGTGGGCGTAGGTAGCTCCTCTTTGTTCCGGCGGGCGGTGTCAATTATCCTGAACTGCTGCTCGAACTCATAGCGCAGATTCTCGATATAGGATCGCAGCTCGAAGCCGGTCTTGCCGGGAATAGATCTAGCCATGTCATTGAAACAATCCTCAGCGAAGTCCTTGTTGCCATAATAGGAGTGCCTTGGATTGTAGAGATTCTCGTGCTTGTAGTAGAGCCGGATCAGCTTCCTCACATCAAACTCCTCCAGGGAGGTGTGGAATCCCTCCTCCCGCTTTGGTCTCATCTTCTTAATTCTTTTGCCGATTAAAGAGTAGAGGAAACCCTTGATCTTTCGTGATATATCATGAGCGGGCTTAGCGACGCCTACTCTCTGGTTCCCGCTGGGGCTGGGTGTCGGTGACTGATTCTGGAAGTTCATAGTTAAACGCCTGGAGGAGGATTGCCTGTGTCTTGGCAATCCTTACGTCCTCTGCAACCTGGCGCTTTGGCGGCGTCGTCTTCGCGGCGTCCTCTTCTGTCGAGCGAATCAAGTTCATCAAGGGCAACAGCATTATTTATTGTTTGGCGAAATTTTGTGGCATTATTTAGGAAATAATAAAGTGAATGAGTTACCTGAGAAAGAATACTATGAAATGACGTGTTACACAAAGCACAACGGCAACATATTTACAATATTTTCAAATCAAACTGGAAGAACGCTCAAGTGTGGTATTTTATCATACTGTTCCGAGCTATCAGCTGTTTTGCGCCCATTGGCGCATTCCAACACTGTCCCAGCGAAAGAGCGTGAGAGAGAGAGAGCGCGCGAGAGAAAGAGAAACACTAAAACAAAAATAAGTTCCGTAACAAAAATTATAAATAAAAAATAAGGAAGTGAGCGTTTAACGTCGGCCGCCAAAAAAAATCCAAGGCAGCGCTCCAAAAACTGACAGCATTTTCGGGTTACATCTCAACAGTAAATTTGAAATCAGATCGGAAAAATCAGAGTCAGAATAGTGCAATTGGAACAGCAGCGGTGTGCGGGGGTGTTAATTAGCGGAAGACGGCAATTTATTGAACGCGAAAAAAGACAGACAGCACGAATCAAAACTCCCATTGGACACGAAAGCGAAATTAAAGTGCCGCTGAATGGTGTGCAACCGAACGATAGTGCGAAAAGTGCAATAAATCAATGTGGCAGAGGAGGAAGAGGCAGAGCGACGGAAGCGGTGACCACAACAAAGAGAGGAAGACTTAACGGGAAACTCGTAACAAAGAGGCGGCGCTGCGGGTTCTACTTCGCGTATCACTAATTTCCTAGTTTAATTGCTCGCAAAATGGACGAGGTCTTCAGCCTGCACATGGAGAAACTGGATGTCTACGATGGCAAGTATTTAAAAAAAATTCCACTTGTAAATCCATTAAAATATAGAATAAACAAAGGGACTTAGGGGGAAAGAAGTCTGATTAGAAATAGGTGGAGTTTGTAGGCACGATAAAAATGATAAGATTTTAAAAAGAAGTCGTATACGAATGTTCGATATAAATACTCAATTCATTGTAAGCTATATGAAGCTACAATTTCTTTTATAGGCAAGAAGAAATAATAAGCTAGAAATCTAGGCCCTTACCTTATGCTGAAGAAGTTAAAAATATAACCAGAAAAATGGTACATTTATGTAGCTGACCCATATAGATTTATTAACATTAATTGATCGTTATGGGGCAATCATAAACTTACTATTTAACTTATAGTTAGGGTTAAAACTAAGTATATTCGTATTATGCCCGGGAAATCCGCTTAGAACATACATGACGTTAGTAAACTTATAAGGAATCGAAACGGAAAAGGCCTTAAAAACAGGTGAATAGTATAAAGTAGATCAAAAGCAGCTCCTCATTAGTCATTGTCATCGGGATCCGGTCCGGCGAGTATCTCCTCAATGATGCGGTGGCCGTCCTCCGTCTTTTCGCCTTGGATGATTAAATCCCGGAGTGTCGATATATGCTTCTCGCCCTGCTCGATTTGGACCTTTAGGGTGTCGTTTTCGCGTCGCAGGTCGTCTATGCGCTTCTTCCGCTCCTCGGCCGATTTCTTTGTTTTCTCGCGTGTGCGTTGCACGGCCTGTTTAGAAATTAATAATAAATCAATATAGTGTGTGGCTATTTTTGGGGCACTTCTGGGGGCCCAGCAACATTTTGAAACATGTTTCTTCATCTTTTCGTCTATCTCTCTCTTCTGTTTCGTTCTGGCAACCAAAATAACATACATACCTCATTGTTTTTCTGTCTTTTCCGTTGGTACTCTGGATCATTGACGGCTGGACTCATTGGGGCACTATCGCTATCTCGCTTGCTGGTGGACGCGCCGCTTGCAGTTCTCTTCTTGGCCGGCATCCTGTCCGTGATAATCCTGATTTGTATTTAAAGTTTATTTATTTTACTAGCAAAATGCAGCAACGATGTGTTGTTGTGAAATTACAAAACAGCTGTTCGACCGCCAGGCAGTGTTGGTTAACGCGCCACACACACCCAGCAAACAATCACACTGCGGTATTACTAAATTAAACATGAAAACAAATACTACAAATAATTTGCAACCCGATCAATAGCTCTGGAATAATATTATTAAACACCTTTCAACCTGTCAACCACACAACCCGACAAATTTTTCGTTTGCTCAATTGTAGCATTACGTTATTTTTATTATTTATCAACTGTTTATACAATTTGTTTGTAAAGACTGATTTCCTGTATGTAGCTGTAGTTGCAATCTGAAATTAAACTAAATGAAATGTAATACGTAATAGTCAATAAATGTTTTGAATAAGCAAGAGTTCAAATTTTCATCGTGTTTTCCATAACCAAAAGCACAACAAGCATTTCGGGCAGCTGAAAAGACCTGCCAGCGCTTCACAACACTAGATCTGTGATTTTTTTGCAACCGGCTTAATTTTTTGCCTTTAAATCCAAGCAAAATGTCTTCGCCTGCCCCCAAATCGCCGGAGCTGTCGGACAAGAGCAAGAAATACGACAGACAAATCAGGTAACGTGGTTTCGGTGAAGGAAGCTGACATTTCACTAATGTGTGCCTTTTAGACTGTGGGGCGAACATGGACAGACGCTTCTGGAGGCGGCCACTGTTTGTTTGGTGAATGTCACGGCCGTGGGCTGTGAAACAGTCAAAGGATTGGTACTTCCTGGAATTGGTGGCTTCACGGTGGCCGACGGTAGCACCGTCAAGGAGGAGGACCTGGGCAACAAGTGGGTAACCTCTATACAACCAGATCAGAAAACAACCATGTAATGATTTGATCTTCTGCAGTTTCTTCCTGGATCAAACCTATTTGGGCAAATCCAAGGCTCTGGCTTGCATGCAGCTCCTCCAGGAACTCAATCCCGACGTCAACGGCGACTATGTGGAGGAGAGTGCTGACTTTATACTGGCCAATCGTCCCAACTTCTTCGACAGCTTCGATTTGGTCATTGCCTCCAATCTGAACGAGCTGACTTTGCTCCTCCTCGCCGATCGTTTGTGGGAGGCCAATGTACCACTTCTCTACTGCCGCTCACTGGGCATGCTGGGCACCATACGCCTGCAGATACGGGAACACTGCATCGTGGAGGCGCATCCAGATAACAGACAGTTTGATCTGCGTCTAGAGCATCCATTTGACGCTCTTCGTGAACATCTCGATGGCACAGAGGTGACCGGCAAGGTGCCCTGGCTGCTGGTGCTACACAAGTACCTCACTGCCTGGCAAAAGCAGCAAACTAATGGGACTCAAACGCCGCGTACTTACAAGGAAAAGAACCAGCTGCGCGACTCTATCAGGGGCGAAATGAAGGCGGATGAGGAGAACTATGAGGAGGCCATCAAGGCGGTGAATACGGCTTTCGGTGCAGGACAGGTTCCCACAGGCCTGAAAGCCATTTTCGAAGATGATGCCTGTGAGCAGCTGAACAAAAAGGTTGTCTTTACTTAAATCCCAATTTCGTCTACAAAATCTCACTAATTCGATTTCCCTCTTAGAGCAACACCTTCTGGATCATGGCCAAGGCTCTGAAGCACTTTGTGGTGCACGAAAACCAGGGATATCTGCCTCTGCCTGGCGTTCTACCAGATATGACCGCCAACACTGACTCGTACATTGCCTTGCAACACATCTACCGACAGCAGGCGCTGCAGGATGCCGATCAGGTGTACCATAAGTGCCAGGACTACCTCAAGCAGTTGTCTTTACCCGCCGATAGCATTGATGAGCGAAGTGTGCGTCTGTTTTGCCGAGAGGCTGCTGGCTTGGCAGTCATACGAGGCACCCGAATAGCCGAGGAGTACGAGAAGAGCTGTCGCTTGCTGCCACTGGGTGAGTGTCTTTCAATGTCGCAGAGCCTTGTACCCATTCCAAGACAATAATTTCCATCTCATTCCAGTTGAGGACAACGAGCTGCAGGGCAACCTCACGGCCTACAACTTTGCACTGCGCGCATATGAGCGTTTTCTCAGCGAATGCGGTAACATTCCCGGCGAATGCACCGTTGAGCAGGACATTGGACGCCTAAAGAGCATCGCCGCCAAGATGCTGGGCGATTTGGGAATGCATGCGACCATTAGCGACGACGTCCTGCACGAGATCTGTCGCTACGGCGGTGCGGAGTTGCATGCAGTGTCTGCCCTAATTGGTAATACTGGTGGAATTTACTTGTGGTCTTTAGTTAACTTTCCATTAATTCTTTCCAGGTGGCTGTGCTGCCCAGGAGGTGATCAAGGTCATTACCAAGCAATACAAGCCCATTGATAATACCTTTATATACAATGCCATTACCACTGAAAGTGTCACATTGAAGCTATAAATGAATTGTGTCTTAACATCATTCCTATTATATTTTATTTAATTTTCTTGCTTTCAACTGGTGTCCCGTAATTATTACGGTAGAACCTTCCAAATAAGATGACGAAGGGCACCAAATAGACGAAATTCACAAAGAGAAATCCAGTGTCGACTGCGCAGCCCCGTGCTATAGCTTGTCCTAACCACAGCAGACCAACGGCGAACTGTATAAGCTGGAGGACGGTCAAGTAGCGCTTCCACCACAAGAATTTCTGGAAGCGAGGACCCAGCGCACTCATCGCATAGTAGCTGTACATAATGATGTGTACGAGGGAGTTTATTGTGCCTAGCACATATGCTGTGCAGAGATAAAATAGGATAAAGATATGTAAAGGAAGTGAAACTCTTTAAAGGCGAAGAGAGACTCACATGAGCCCGTTGGCAACCACTTGACGGTAATCCAGCACATGACGAACATGGAGCTATGATGGTAAACATGCAGGAAGCTCAGTTGCCTCCACTTGTGCCGCAAAATGAAGAAGGCCGTGTCGGCGAATTCGAGTATTTTCGAGATGTAGAACCACCAAAAGGCCGCGGCAATCTGTTTTACAAAGGGGGATACGACCCTCTCAATTTGATTCTGTCAGCCGGCCTGCGAGCCATGAATAGTTCGTTCTTTTTTGTTTTTAACCCAATACCCTTGCAGAGAGCATGATTGACCCTAGACTTGCCTACATTTTCGATTAACTAGAAGCTTTAACCTTTAAACTGAACATTTTGAAGTTAATAATTATATTTTAATGAGGAATTGTTATGGCCAGCAACCGAGCTTCTTAATCTTGATGCCAACTTTAAGGTAAACTATATGAAACTAGATCTTACTAAATCTTATTCCATTCATGAATCACTTCTCTGATAGGGTATTTAGGCTTCGGTTTGCCAAAAGTTCCCTTAACCATATCTCCTTTTCCTCTTTTTTTTGTTGCCACCAACTTACACGCATTTCATGTGGGCTATAGCTCACCCGACATGGCTGACAGGCGAAGCTATAGTCGAGGGCCCGCGATGCCGTGAAGAGCTCTACCCAGATGTGGGCATTGAGCAGGACCATGGCCAAGCTGTGGCAGAACAATGGCACTCGCAGCTGCAGCGGCTTGTACCTGTGGGTGTCCAGCAGTGTGGGCGTTTTGTGACGGATGGATGGATGGTATGACCTCACCTGGCAGCCCATTTGGGACCAAAGAGCACCATCAGCAGGTAGAGGGCGAGTATGGCGGCGACATTCCAAGGTGATTCTACCAATGGCCACGTGCGCGTCCGCTCGTCGACCAGGTCCTCGAACGGATACCGATAGCTGCCAATTGTGGTTTCGTTGCCATGGTGCGCCATTGAAGAATCTCCGGATAAGACTGACTAAGGCGGCACTCGGACTGGCGACTCATATATACGCTTCTTGGCCCTGATAGCTCCGCTGATGCGTTGATGGCTTTTTCCCCCATTTAATTAAATGTCGTCGTTGGAGCATGAACGTTGATGCAGGTCGGGGTTTGCCTCTTAAATTTTCACTTAAGGCCCTATCATTGCTTCTTAAATTGTGGTCAAAGTCAAGATTTTATTTGTTGTCGTCTAAAACTAGTTTTAATGGTAATCGTTGCAGGGTAAATTTAGTCAGAAGTTCATCTAATATGAGGTAAGGCAATTTTGTATTAATCTTAAATTTAGGTTTTAATTTAAATAATATCGAACGACATTATTGTATAGCTGCGATAATGTACATTAAATATGCATCAGTGAAAGTGTCCCTCTCCCTCTCCCTCTCTATCTCTCTCTTGAACTCCATCAATGTCTATCCCATGGTAGAATTATCCCAATGTATAATTGTATCATGGTCTATCCCTCTTTGTGTATCTCTAGAGATAGGTCTCTCTCTCTCTGAAGCTCTCTGCCTAACATATCTCTCGCTCTCACTTTCTCTGTTCTCTTTACTCGGCGACTATAAATACAGGCACAGAGGTCGCGCGCGCCTCAGTCTGTCCGTGGGGTACCTGGTGTTAACATCTATTGTGATAGTGGCGGTGATAGTGATTGGCCTTCGACCACAAAAATATCAACTAATCAATACATCTGGATAGCCTAATGGAATGGATAATTGAAGTCGCCGATAATATAATAACACACTGGCTGGAACTAAGCAATACTGCGGTAAGTCTTAACCATGACAATTATATCACTTATTATATATAGATGCCAGACGAGGGATCAGGCCTAGATCATTTCTCAAATTAGAGAAATGTGTTGTGTTACAAAAGTTGCATGTCATTGTTTATTAGTGTTCAAAGTTAGTAACTGATCATAAATACTTACTGGTCATATTTACTTACTGACCATAGTTACTTACTGCTCATAGTTAATTACTGGTCATAGATACTTACGGACCGGAGTTACTTACTGCTCATAGTTAATTACTGATTATATTTACTTAATGCTTATTGATACTTACTGTTAGTAAAGGCAGTGATTTTATAATAACTTATGGAAATAATTTTTACTTTCTCATTTTATCCCCGTGTTCATTTTTTTCAACTTTAACGATTCACTGGAATTTCAAATGCAGGCAACAATATCCTTTTGTTGTCGATTTCGCATTTATTTCAACTCCATTGGAATCTTGATTAAGCAGATGCATTCATTTTTCGATTGCCTCTTAATCAATGAAGCGTTAAATATAGTTACACACGTATATATCTTTTGTGGCATCGTACCATCAATATTGAAAAGTGCAATTGCCATTGCAGGAGCAGGAGCAGGAGCAGGAGCAGCAGGAATAACAAGGAAAACAATTGGAAAGCACAATAAAGTGTGCAACGTGAGAGAGGTCTGCCAATGGTGATGGTGATGGTGATGGGGATGGCTGAAGGTGAGGGAGTAAAGGAAGCGAAACCTGAAAGCCAAAAACGAAAAACAAACTTTTCACTAAGACGTTGCTAGAGAGTGTAGCAGTCTCCAAAAATATACACTACCAAGACGGAGTGTAAAGAAAGCTTCCGTTTAGAATTACTTTAAAAAGAAATACAAAAAGTTATATAAACATACAATTAAAAATATTATTTATTTTCTTCAAACTTACAGATAAATCTCATAAACTTTTATGAGAAAATTACGCTTTATTTAATAGTTAAAGTTTGGCCTTTCGCGACTTTAATGTTAAGCTTTATAATATGGAATTGTGAACTACAAAAAATATACAAAATTACGACAATTTTCTCTACTCATATTAGTAGGTTAAAAAGGTTAATCAACTAAGTGCAACGTGAATAACTTCATGTTAATAGCTTAATTATAGAGAGATAGTTATAATTACTATTTTTTAGGTTATTATAACTCTGAGTATTAAATTTGACTCCCATTTCTGGGTTAAAATAATGATTTGTTTTATCATATTTCATTCCGTAAAAATGTAGAGTATATACATTACGATTTTAACTTAAAACTACGACATCAGTTGTTCGCCCTTGGCGCTGTTAGATGTTTGCGCTTTTCGCTGGCTTTTTGGCCCTTTCATGTCTCCGGCTTCGACTCCATTTTCTATTATTGTTTTCTTTATTTGTATTACAGTACGTGTTTGCACCTAAGGCACTTTGTGCTGTTGCTGCTGCTGCTCCTGCTGCTGTTTACATTTCGGATGCCATAGGAGCAGCTGCGTCCAAAGGGTTGAACATCGCACAGACTTCTCCACTTCCGCCAATGGATGTTTGCATTATTATTATTTTGTAAGCCATGTTCCAGGGCACCCGTTAAGCGCAATTGTATTGCCCAGTTGACCGCAGAAGTTGGACCCCCCATTTTATGGGCTCAATCATGGGGTTTTCGGGAGTGCTTTCTCTCCTTGCCGCTCCGAATCAAGCGTCAATTTTCATTAAAATAATGTCACAATTTAGCCTCGAAATGGGTTCTATTCAGGGTCCCCGGTCCCCTCTGTGTGGTTAACCGCCTGGCTTTGCCCCGTCATCGGTGGGGCTGGGCTGCACATGTCCTGCGGCTACGCATGTCCTGTGTGCCAGTTTCCTCCACTTACGCATTTCCTCTCCCATATACTCCTGTATCCGCGTGCTTACGTATGCGTATAATTAAGTTAGTGTAATTGTCATAATCAGGCCTTACACTATATATAGGTATTGTTGATCTAGGGATGGGAATTATTTTTTAAATAATGAGTTAAGGAATTAAACAGGTACCCAAAAAAAATCTAAAAAAATATATTTTGGGTCTGAATTTCAATTGAACTTTTTTCTAGCATATTTTAATTAATTTAAAACTCAATGAAAATTTTCCTCTGACGATATAATAATACTTTTAAATCCCTCAAAAGAGTGAAACCACATTTTAAAGGAATCCTATTACAATTATTTAATTCTAAACCTATCAAAATAATATCCTATATAAATTTTCACCCATCTCGATAACTAATACCTTTACCATTACAGTTTTTGGTGCCCTGCCGAATTGTAAATAGAGCTGTTGGCCAATGGCAAATATATTTGATAGATGGATGTCCGGATGCCTAACTGATGTTATTTCGTCGTGGTCCCTCCATTTGGCATTTCTGAATACCGATGCATTCAACCATTCACAGGGCACTGAATAATTTAGTTTTGTGGAGAAGGAAGAGTATGGGGTTTGAGGGGGGAGTTTTGAGTTCAAAAGGGCGTTTTTGGGCTATGGGGTGTTAGTTCACTGTGCTGACATTGTCGCCCCGAGTGGATCACGTGGTTTATTAAATAGATTACGGTTTTGTGCCGCACAACTTCATGCTGCACATTGTACTAGACAAATGTTGAAAGTCCCTCTCTAAAACACTGAGGGAAATACTAAGCAACTGCAATTTAAAATGAATTTTTATTCGGATATGCTAAGGGAATACATTTTTTATTAAGATAAACTCTGCCCAAGAGTATGCACAAACAAGAAAGGAAGCTAATTTTAAAAAGCCAAGAAGCACTTTTGCAATTGTATCATTGTTTCTCAATATTTTAGAATGATCTTAATGGCGAACCGAATTATATATAATATATATAATTAGGTAATCTTATACCCTCAAGAAAGGTTGAAATGTTTTCATATCTTTATAAGTTAATTTTTTGGACATATCAAACTGAAAAAATTGCATAACTAAGCCAAAAACGCACTAATTTCAATTTCGAAAGCATTTCTGTGTTAGTTCTTTTAGGTGAATAAATCTGCATACTGAGTATAAAATATTTAAAAATTGAAATTTTTGTCAAATTTTTTTGGCAAATTTGATGTTACCCCTTATAAAATTTTGGAAAAATTAAAAAAAATTTTTTTCTTAGAAACATGGTTAGATCGATTCGGCTGTTAATGCTGATCAAGAATATATACGGTTTATAGGGTCGGAAATGACTTCTTCACTGTTTTTCAAGCTTCTGACTAAAATTATAGTACCTTGGAGGGTTATGAAATTAAATTTTTCAAATTGATTTTTAATTATTAAACATTATTAAACATTTTTCAGTGCCCTATGTCAACGCCGGACTACTGTCAGTTTGCTCCATTGTCAGCAGCAGTCGCATGCATGACGAATTCATGGCGGTTCATTGCCGTTTTATCATCTTTGACCCCTCGCTGGACCCTCGCATGCATGCACATACATAACTGCGGTTCAGGGGGCAGAGTTGAAGGGTTGAATACAAAAACATACATGCAATATGCAAAACTTTGTTCAGCGGGCGATAAGAAATGCATTGACAATTTGATATGACTGAAAAAAATGTGCGGGGAAATAAAAACACAAAGCCAGAGTTGAAAAATTCGTATCTTTTATACACTTTTTTTGCAAGCCTTAAATTTCTTGTTTAAACATAGAATATATTATAAAAATCAATTTACATAGCAGTGTCGGTATGATAACACATGTATTTATTTGCCTAGCCAGGGGTAACCAGTGGTAATATCAAAAATCTAATGACAGCCTCTCAATAACCACAATTTCGATTTGCAATGAAATTGCAGTCTTTTCGATATTTATGCAATAAACAGTTATAATGCAGCTCCATAACTTGGCAGACAAATGGACGGCAGGACTGGAATACAGAAAATAAATATCATTCTCCTTGCTGAGATTGCTGCACCCAAAGGAATGGATGGACACATTGCTGCCGCATCATTATATCAATATTCTTGTGTATTGACAGCGGCGAGCAATTGATGTCAGTGACAAAAGGGGAAATATCATCAAGCAAGTCAAGCTGCCATCGAGAATGGTGCTTTCTTTTCCTCCCTCCTCCAGTTTTTCCTGAAATTTTCTTTGCAGTTTCACTCAAAGAAATTTGATCAGAAACATATATTAAAAATAGTATAATAAATATATATATACAATCTCCTATTATTAATTTGTATTTAATAGATTTTCTTATAAATTCTTAATATATTATATACACTTTAAGTCTATAACATTTTCTCCATGTTTCGCTTTCCCTTGTTATTGTTATTTTCTTGTTGCTATTTTGCGGGGGATTATTGAATGCGAATGACCTGACCCAATGGCATCTCCTTGGGCTTCCTCCTCCGACAAGCCATTGATGCTGTTGTCCTCTCGATGTCCATCCACTGTCGACTCGAATCGCTTTTTGTGTTTACTCGCATTTCCTGCACATTTCCGGCTCAATGGGAATGTGGCAAACTGTGTTCTGCCCCTGCTCCCTGAAGCTTGCCGAGGCATGAGAAATTGTGGCCATGATTGGTAGAATACCTTCGGTTTTGGTCTACAGGTTTAATTTTGATTGAGGTACAATTGCTATTGTTCGATTTTTCCCTAAGAAGTTATAGAAGGTATTTAAATATTCTATTTTATATAGTCACAGAATGGAATCCCTTACAAAATACATTGTTCCATTCTTTGCTCTGCACATAAAATGCATCAAAAGAAAGCCATCACTTCTCTTATGTGAGCCATTTGTCTCTTTGCGTCTTCTTTTTCCCTGCTGGCAGGTGCAACATACTTTACCTGTCCCGTCTTTACCTTCTGGTTGGCCATCACCCATACGCCACGTTGTCGCATCGCCTGGATACGCGTTATTTACAAAACATTTGTCATGGCTTTGGCTCGCTTAGATCGGAAGTGGAATCCTGGAGGAGAGGGAAACAGGATGTGAAGCGGATGAGGATAATGCCATCTGCTTGGGTGACTGAGTATCGAATGCATTTTGGGGGGAGGCAACCTCAGGGCATACCGGGAACGGAGTGAAATTAATGGTTTGCCACTTTGTCATCACGGTTTGAAAGTCAATTTGGCATTAGATTGGTTGGTTTTTGGGGAGTTGACTACGTTTCTGAAATGATCGGAATATATTTGTTTCTATTTGATATGCCTTTCGGGTAATTTAAGGTTTGTAAAGTAAAATCAAAGACAGATTGCCAACTTAGATTGTTTAATTTGACTTATAATAAATAATATATAATAATATATAAATACTAGGTGATGGCATTAAAAGGTTGCTTCTAATTAAATTTTAAGCAGTAATTATTATTATTATTATTATTATTTACAGTTTTACATTTTCCTCTATTTTTAACAATCGTTTTTATGACATTATATGATACAGTAGTCCGATTTTCATAAAATTTATTTCATTACTGCATATCAAATTTGATAAAAATCTGTTGAAAACTGGAAAAGTTATAATATTTTTTCCTAAACTTTCCGATCGTTCCTATGGCAATTATATATGTATATATATAGTCCACCGATTTCCCATGCTCCGACTGATATACTAGTAAAATTATATAGAAGAATAACTCCATAGTTTTGTTCAAATGGCCTTGCTCTTAAATTTGTTCTAAAACACATCACGCCCATGTTTATGATTCCCAACTGGTTCTAACATCCCCGGAACGAAGTGACTTTTACCAGCCAAGTCTCGGATACGTGTTGTGTTACAAAAGTTTCAAGTCATTCTTTACTAGTGTTCAAAGTTAGATGCTGATCATACATACTTACTGGTCATAGATACTTACTGATCAGTGTTACTTACTGATCATAGTTACTTAATTAAATAGCTCGCTGTTTCTCTCGGACTCTCCCTCTCTCTCTCTATGCCTATGGCTCTGTGTTAATCTCTAGAGGCAACTGCTTCTCTCCCACGCACTCTCACTCACATTCTCTTCTCTTCTCTTCTCTTTCCTCGGGACTATAAATAGAGGCGCTGAGGTCGCGCGCGCCTCAGTCTGTCCTAGGGGTACCTAGTGTTAACATCGATAGTGATAGTGCAAGTGATGACCCTTCGAGACCAAAAAGATGACTTGGCCAATGCAATGGATTTGGATGACCAGGAAGAAGCTCACTTAGATGAAGTCACCCAATCTTGGATACTACACTGGAAGGAAGTAAGCGACTGACGAAAGTGCTCTACTGCGGCAAGTCTTAACCATGACATTTTTATTATGTATGAAGAAGCTGTTGGTGAGATCAGACCAAGGTCTAGATTTTATATTTCAATAAATTTCCTTATTGCCATGGTCCCCTTTACATACTTACTGGTCATAGATACTTACTGTTCAGAGTTACTTACTGCTCATACTTAATTACTGCTCATAGTTAATTACTGACTTAGTGTTCATTGATACTTACTGATCATAGTTACTTACTGGTCATTGATACTTACCGCCCATAATTAATTACTGTTCTGAGTTACTTACTGTTCAGAGTTACTTACTGCTGATAGTACATTACTGATCATAGTTTTATAAATCGTCCGATTGTTTCTATGTCAGCTATATATGTTTATATATAGTCCACCGATTCGCCGTGCTCCGACTTATATACTAGCAAAAGTATATAGAAGAATAATTATAGTTTTATTCAAATAGCTTGTTCTTAAATTTGTTCCAAAACAAATCTCGCACATCTGTGCATATGATTCCCAACTGGTCTTAACATCCCCGGAACGAAGTGACTTCTACCGTCCAAGTCTTAGAAATGTGTTGTGTTACAAAAGTTGCAAGTCATTGTTTATTAGTGTTTAAAGTTAGTAACTGATCATACATACTCACCAGTCATAGATACTTACTGATCATTGATACTTACTGCTCAGAGTTGCCTAATGTTCATTGATACTTACTGATCATAGTAATAACTGATCATACTTACTTACTGGTCATAGATTCTTACTGATCATAGTTACTTAATGTTCATTGATTCTTACTGATCATAGTTAACAACTGATCATACTTAGTTACTGATCATAGTTAATTGCTGATCATACATACTTAATGGTCATAGATACTTACTGATCATAGTTATTTGCTGGTCATAGATACTTACTCACCACAGTGTATTACTGATCATAGTTATTTACTGATCATAGTTACTTACTGATCATATTTATTTAAGTTCATAGTTACTTAATATATTCGATTTCTTATAAAAACCCAGAACCCAGAATATTTACACTTGCATAATTAAAGTTGATTAACTGAATGGCATTTGAACTGAATCTCACCCATCGAGAATTAATTCACTTCTTTAGCTAAAATAAATGCTTATCCAATAAACCATTTGTTTAATTTCCACAACCCCAAAGCATCTTTACCATCTCGTCTTGAAGCTTTTCATTACTTTAAGCCAAACAAAGTTAGTACAAGAGCCCTGGATTCCCTCCCTCTCTAGTTCTTGCCTTTACCCCTGCGTCAAATTAATTAAATTGAGCCAAGAAAATGTACAAACACGTACATGTATTAGTGGGTATGAAACACAAGGCAGCTTTGGCCGCAATTTTTAATTGCATTTTAATGACTTTATTCCGCTGAAATATGCCGGCACACAGAAAGCCCATTAAACTGATTAATCTCAGCCATTGACACCTCGAGGCTCTAATTAAAGTGGCTCGAGCCAAAAAGGATACGTTTCGATTCATAACTCGACAGCAAACGATATAAGCCCCAGAAAAATGAAGGAAAAAAAAGGAAATGCAACTTTCTATTGAGCTGGCTGTCTGTCAAAAAAGGAAATCGGGGGGATATACTATATATATAGTGGAAAAAGCAATGGCAAGAGAAGTATGTGGAAGTAAGTCCGACAATTGGCAGTTTCGGAAAATAACTTTGTTGCCGCCGCTGTTGCTGCCAGTAGTGGCCCAAAATAGCCGACACAGCATATATAACTAATACTCCCAGTTGGCAGCCTGACCACAGACCAGCCATCCGGCCAAATATCTAACCGAAAAAACCACCCCAATAGAATCACCCAAAAACCCGACACAACCAACCGATGGACAATAAAACAAATCGAATAGAACTTCATTTCTTCTACATTTTATTTTTTTTCCCGTTCACTCGGTTTTCTTCTCGTTTTTCACGGATTTTCCGGGCCAAGGGAGAAGGCGAGACGTGTTCGGTTTTGTGTTGTCGCTTGTGCTGTGTGAAAATGGCCATAAAATGTGCAGAGGGGGGAAATCAGTGTTTAATTAAGTTATAAAAATGTTTTGGTCATTTAAGTCCGCGACCAAAAGAATTTGCGGCTTCGAGTCGATGAGAACAAATGGCATGGAAACTAAGCTGGGGATTAGGCTAAATAATCAGGATTTTCTTGAGGCTCAAAGGAAATTAATTTAAAGGAAAGGTATGCAAACTTGTGTTTAAGAAGTTTTAAATTATTTTAGACAAGGTTTTATTCAAAGGAAATGTAGGTTAAGCTACAAATATATAAAGAAAAAGTAAAGGGTTCTCTTATTTTTAAACCCATAAAATGTTTTAAAATTATTATTATACTTTTAGGTTTCTTTTGGCAGATTATTTTGGGTTACCATTTAGTTTACTTTAAAAATATATAATATATAATAATATATAATCTTTTCTTCACTTGGTCTTTAAATATTTTTTGCAGGACCTAAACATAGTCTCAAATGACTTAACTAAAACTAGGAGACATATTTTCAGGACACATTCCAGGTCATAAAGAAAAAAACGTGCAGAAAAAAGTGTTGCATTTTTTCCAAACGGCTCTCAAAAATTGCTTACCACCAGCGCAGCAGGCATTCTGCATTCTTTTTCCATCGTTTTTTCTTTCCCTGCCAGTTTTCTTTATTATTATGGAAAGGAATATTTATGAGCGTTTATGTATGCCCTCGATTTTTGTGAATGAAATTGGGGGTGTATTGATCTAAGAGGAATATTAGAAAATATTCCTTTCTCTCTTATAAACAATAAATAATATCTATGTAGATAGTTTTGAAAAGTATTCTTAATAAATCAATATTAACCTTTTACAAATTTTATTTCGCTGGAGAAAAAAGATTTTTTGGTAATATTTAAAATTTACTATAAGGATTTAATGTTTTTTATAAAATATATATTTTTTTACTGGGTATTGAAATGGTCTTCAAGTCATTTCCTCTTGTTTTCTATACATGAAACTCGTATGAGCTGCAGCAGCTTACTTATTCTGCAACTTCTTCATCCGTTTCCTTATGCGAATGTGCATGCTTAAGCTGCTTTTCCACGCACACACACACACGCCCAAGCTAAGAGGAAAAGTGCAATGGGGGGAAGGGGGGAAAACTAAGGGAAAAAGTGGGGAAAACAACACATTGAGCTGAGCTTAACGGCTGGCGCATAAGTTTCAAAGTCAGCATGGAAGGTCCGAGTCTCAGTTCGACTGTCTTGCAACTTTTGCAGCGTCGTCGTCTTTTGGCTTAAAATAGTTGTAGACACTTAAAGAAATAATGAAGAAATATAGAATATAAACATTTAAACAATAATGGTTAAAATATAATTTAAAAAAATTATTTAACATTGGATTACAGTGGCATATCGTTCGTGTTACTTAAATAATATGTAAATCATTTTTACTAAAGTTGTGCTACATTTTCCACATAAAATATATTATGTGCCTAAATATCACTATCTTGTAAACTAATTGCCTTAACTTTATATAATTTATTTTCTGTGTATCTCTTGGGAATAGGATTTAGGAGGAGGGTGGGGAAAATTTATCTGGGCACGTCGTCTGTGTATTTCAAATGCAATTCATTGTGCTCCTTTCTGTCTCTCTCCCCGAGTGTGTGTGTGTGTGTGAGTGTGTTGCTTTATGTCCAGTCTGTTGTGTTTGTGTTACCAAAATCCCAGTCCGAGTGGCTGAGAAATACCCAGCTTGGGACGCTGCGTTTGCACTTTGGGAAACTCTTTTAAACGCCTCTCGAATACACGCATGTTATGCTGCAATTTCAACAAGGCCATTGTCCTGGTCTCTGTGCTCGTAAATCTTTTGCTTTATCCTTATAGCTCACAATATTCACCATCTGCATTCTTGAATTTATTTCAGACATTTGCTTAATTTATTTTGCTGGTAAAAATTGGAGATACAAATAATAGCAGTGTTTCATAAGCTAAATATTTACCCAAATATTAGTTAAAG